CAATGTTGGCCAACCAATCTACATGTTTTGCAGGTCTAATAAAGCCTACCTTTACTAGCTTCTCAATTTATTCCTTATCTTTTTCTTTTATTTCTTTTGATATCCTCCTTGGTTATTGCTTTATAGACCTGTACCCTTCTTTAATAGGCATTATATGCTCTACTAAACTAGAGTATAATCTTGGCATTTTTGTGTAATGCCACGCAAAATAGTCTTTAAACTCGTGCAAAAGATTAACTATCTTTACCCAATCTTCTGTTTCTAGCAGGCCATTGAGTTGTATTGGCCTTGGATCCTCCTCAGTTCCCAAATTAATGGTTTCTAAAGGGTCTTGAACTTCGGGTGTTGGTTTAACGGGCTCTGTAGACAAAAATTCTACTGACTTTAGAGCCTCGGGCTCATCCTGTGGCCAATCCAAGTCATATATATATATATATATTCGGCCATGTGGATGGCTGCTTTCACTTCTTATTCCAGAATTTCTCTTCCTTGATCATCTTTGGTACCTGAAATTCCCTCTTCCCACTTTGCCATTTCTTTGGCTAAGCTTTTCTTGATCTCTTTTCTTTCTCCTCCATAATCCAGTAGCCTCTTAATGAATGACCTGACTGCTATCACCTGGTCATTTCTTTTTTGGTTTGTCATCATTAGTGTTGGCGGGCAGGGACAATATGAGGCATGTCTTATTCCACCCGAGTGAGAGAAAGTCATTGTTCTAAGAGCTTTGGGGAGTCACCTTAGTAAGGTGGTCATTCTGATCTGCACCTAGACATTGTAGGATCATAACATTGGGATTGTAGAGATTAGCTTCAACAACATTAGCTGTGGGGAGAAATAGCTGTGACTCGACCTTTACTATCTCCCAAAATCATTGTCCTACATTAGTGGGTTCATGATAGATAACAACTTGTTGGTGCATAGTAGATGGTATAGACAAATTCTGGTTTATCCAATCTCTTCCTAACAACGCCCCATAAGTAAAGCTGTTGTCTATTATAAAGAATGCCAACATGATCTTCTTGGATCCTAAGTCTACTTCTAAGAGCAGTATCCCATGTGTTTTGGTGATGGCCCTAGAAAAACTAGACACTGTGAGATCAGTGGGAATAAGGTCATCCTCACCTCTTCAAAGTTTCTTTATCTCTTTAAATGGTAGTACATTAATTGCTGCCTCATTCTATCAACACTCTTTTAAAATGGACCCCTTCTAAATGAGCTGTCACATATATGGTCTTTAGATGGTTTGCTAAGGCCAAACTAGGTTTTTTGAACACCTTCTTATCAGAATAAACTCTCAGGCTCTTTTAGTGTGGGGTCAGTAAAGTCTGCCAAGCTTGACTCATTCTTACTATTCTTTTCAATGTTTATAAGAGCCATCATTGACTATTGTGCCAAATAATCATCCTCCATTACTGCTGGTTGATTTGGTTCTGCATAGAACATATAGGACAGTACATAGGTCATGTTGACATGAAAGTTGCTAGGTTCAAGTGCTCATTCCTTATTTTCTCCAATCTAGCACAAACACTGGTCCATTCAGGCATGGGCATCTTTGTTTAACATTAACTCGGGCACTCCCTCTTCTTCTATTATGTTGAAATCAAGTAGTTGTTCTAGAGTCTTAAAGAGAATACCCTTTTATGGTGGCAAAGGCACCCTTATTTCAAGAGATATGGTTCCAAAACAAATAGGTTCTGGATACCAACCTAGTGTAGGTACCATTACCATACTATCTTGCATTCTTCTTAATACCCTATATTTCCTTAGATAAAGGGTTTGAGGGACGTAATCCCCTCCCCTTCCCCCATTTCCCCTCGTCTTCAGCCTTGCTATTAGCCTACTTTACTTATTTCCTGCTCCTCCAGCTAGGTTGTCTCTCCCCTCCTTGGGTAAACTCCTTAAATTTAACATTCTCAGAAGCTTCTGAAATAGTAGAATTTTTTAGCAAGTTCATATAAGCCTTGTGTTGCCTCTAAACCCTTTTTATCATGATTGCCCCCATTTATTTGATAGGTCTTCCATCTTTGCCTACTATGTACCATTTTTGGCCAAGTCGGGATAAGTTCACCTTTGTAACTGGTGGTATCAGGCTCATGGTTCTTTCTAGCTTCCTTTGTCCCATTATGTCATGGTTGGTTGGTTAGGGGGCCTTAACATCTACTTAGCGTGGTAACCTTGCATCTCTATCCTTCACTTCTTCAGAGGTTTCAAAGTTTTTGAATACCTCAAATAAATTCTTAGGCTTTAAATCTTCCCATAACCTCTAGAACATATTCTTAGTAGTCTCCTTATTTGCTTCACTAGCTTGGAAAATACTTCTGCATGCATCTTGTTCTTCTACCTCTTTTTTTTTTACCAACTCTCGATCAGTGATGGCACCTGATGCTGGTACCTCGAGCTCACATTCACATTGGCATCTACTGCACAAAACCACTCATTTGACCACAGTTCCTTGAGGCCAGTCGAGCAATTTTCAGTTGCCTTCCATTGGCCTACATGCCTCCCTACTTTCTCTTATACCATCTAGGATAACCTTTCATTTCCCTTTTTTAATCTAATTAAGATTTATCATGTTGATTGGGGCTTCAATGAAAGGGTCTGTGTCAATCGTCATATTAGCCTGGGGTTTTTTCCAACAATAACTTCCCTTTGACTATAAGGTTTTGGATTCAATTTCTGAATTGCACACAATTAGCAATGAAGTGATTAAAAGTGTAGTGGATCTTGCAATACTTTTTCCCTATGAGTTCTTCAAGTTTAGTCATCTTCTTAGTGTTGTTTGGCAAGATTACTAGACCAGTACTAGTTCTTCATAGATGTCTGCAGCCTTAGTTAAGTTAAAGGAATATGACTGATACTTTGGAGGTTTCATGGGTACAAACCCTACATCGTTCATCACTATATTCTAGTCCTTGATGGGTTAAACCAATCCTTTCACCATCAAAGGTTTGAAAGGAGTGGTCATCTATGCAACACATAGCTATATCCCTTATGTCATGCTGTTGTCATCTTTTCCCACCTCTAGGCCTTCAAACTCTAGTTGATGTATTGGTGCTTTATTTTTATAAAAAATGAGGTACTTTAGATGAATGCTTCGCTTGCTGTTCAAATGTCAATCACTTTTCATATTTAGTGACCACAACCACCAGCTCTTGAAGCTCATTAAATTACACATCATAGAACTTCTTCCTCAAAGGTAGTCTCAGAGTCTTCTAGGCAATGGCTATGAATTGAGCATGGTTGATTGGGAACCGGCATCTCATCCTGGTCTTTCTAAACCTCATAATGAAATCCTTTGTGGACTCATGTTTATATTGCTTTACTTCAACCAGATCATTAATGGTCATCTCAGGTTCCACCCTATGGAATTGCTCATGAAAGGTCATCTCCATTTGCCCCCTGTTAGCAATGGAATTAAGAGGTAACAGAGAGTACCATTGGGAAGCCAATCCTACTAACGAGCTCCCAAACAATCTCAGTTTGTAGTTAGGGTTGTCCTCGAATGCCACACAGTGATTTAAAAATTTAAAAATGTGATATCTGGAATATACATTATAGTCTTCTCCAATGAAAGTTGGGAACACGGGCATTTTGAAATTGAGAGGGAAAGGATTCTGCTTATCAATATACTCAGGATAAGGCTTCTGATATGTTATTATGAACATCTGAGGGAGGGGGGCTTGAGGTTGAGCATTATGTATCACCATCATTTTAAACTCTGCCAACTCATCCCTGAGTTGTTGAGTGACCATATTATTGTGTAGGGTATAAGAAGTCCCCCACTTTGGGCCATGGTCGATGCCCGAGGAAGCTTACCTCTGTATGTCAGGCTGCCTCCATCTAGCTTTTCCCCCTCCCTTATTAATCAATGATGGTGGCCTGTAAGGAGGAAACTTGTCCCCAGCAGTAGATAAGCCTTTTTCACTTGTTTCTCCAACCGAGTTAGACGCACCGATCTTTATTCCTTCATGCCCGATTTGCCTTCTAACATCTGGTGGTGTTGGCAAAAGATCGGGCAAGCCTATCTCTTGGAACTCCTCTTTAGGGTTTTGTTGATAACTAGTTTCAGCCCCTTCCTTCCTTTTCCCTTTGTTCTTCTTTTCTTCAAGTAAGGGAAACTGAGGAATTGTTGGCTTTTTTTCTAGGCTTGTCTCCACGACTCCTTCACTGGCATAGCCATTTTTCGGTGTGGAGTATTCTAACTCCAACTTTCTTTGTAGCATCCTTGTTAAGGAACATAGCTTGCTAACCTTTCATCTGGTTTCCAGAAAGATTTTCTTCATACTTCTCAGTACTTGCATCATGGTGGCTTGCAAATCTTCATTAGTGAACTTTCCACCCGACTTCTCATAAGAGGTCGGGCTCTCTATAATCCCGAGGCTGTGTGGTGAAGGAAAATCTTCTAGATGATTAGTCATATCTACTTCTAGAGGGCAAAGAGGTTGCCCAAATTCTACCTTCCACCTGAATGTTCGATCCTTCATTCGTCTTGGCATACAATATTACAAAATGTATCCCACCAAGCATGCCAAAATTATGTTCGGGCAAGATTTATTCCTCGGACAATTCCCCATGGGCCCTGCTTGTCGGGTCAAGATTTGCTGCTTGGTGTACTGCAATATGAGTTTGTTATTAGTTTGAATGGTACCTTTGTGGGGCCTTTGTTAGGCTTGAGGCTCACAATCAAAACTAATATGAATCTGAGCTTGCCACTTTTATCTCTGTATAACAGATTGTTCTTTTTAGTTATTAAATGGATTGATTACTTGCGCCACAAGTTATTTCGACTTCTTAGTTTGATTAGATTGTCCATAGATGGGTTAAGAATGTTAAAGTTCTTTTTCTTGCCTGGTAAACAAAAAGTTTACTCATAATATCATATGTTCAATTAAGGGGAGTCTAAGAGCCTTCAAGTTATTTCTTTAGTTACAGTTTTAGACTAACAATAAAGAAGCAAGATTAATTAGTTTAGCAAGATTAATCATAGATGATACTTTGAATGAAGGTAGTTGAAAATGATGTAAGATCCAATGAAAGATAAAATTACGACAGATCTATTTTATGTAAGTACAAACAAAAGAAACTCGGGGCAAGATTACAACCTTATCAGGCAAAGTTCGTCTTCTTGCAGCCACTTCACTTTGTGTTTTACAGGTGTTGAAATCTTAGAAAATGGAACATAAACCGGGTTTACCTAAAGATATTCGATACTACAACACAGGGAAAGGTAGCATAGTTGCTAAAACTTGACAAAAGATGCTTTCTATGGTGGACCTGTGACTAGAAAGGGGTAAAGGTTCAACAAACTAAAACTTTCTGGTCTGTTAAAGCGCAAAGTTGAATATTTTTTGATTGATTAGTTGAGAGCCCTTCTGTTTGCATCCCTTACTACTTTTATAGACCTTCTAGCCCGATTGTCCAAGCCTCCCCTTTTGGTGATAGCTTCCAAAGAGTATGGTGAGTCACCATCTACTTTTGTTATTTACCTATCCATGTCATGGAAAAATACTTTTTGCTGAGGGTGAGCCGTCCTTTGTCACTTGTCACTTCACATAGACTTGCTGCCTATTTCTTGGGAAAAAAAATTGATTTTTAATTCCTCATGGGATGTTAACTGTCTGAGCCCAATTCTCCTTCTACTTTTTGCGTTCTTGGGCCTTCATCTGCTCTAAGCCCAACATTAAATATCCACCCAAACAATAGTTACTTAGACCGATTGGTGAATGATAATTAGACACTCTATATCTACAATTAGATTTAAGCCTTCAAATTTTGGACATCGTGTAGTCCATTGTATCCGCAAGAAAATCTGCAGCCAGGACAAAACAAAAGCAACACAATTGCTAGAAATGTTTGAAATTACATGCCAGTCACCAGTTTGTTATGATTGCTAAGATGGTAGAAAAGAATGTATACCTGCATCTTCATTAGTGAAGCACAGCAGAGGTGTGATTCCGAAAACATTTCATACAAGACCCTTGCCAATCGCGACTCCCTGATCTCAATAATAAAAGGAAAAACAAAGTAAAGATAAATTTGCAGATGAGGTAGCATCAAAGCACGAATTGAGAATTGAAGAGCTTAACACGAACCTTTCATCTTGTCCATTGCATATACAGTTTCGGCCTCTGCCGGTGTCTTCAGCTCACGATCACCAATAACTACGTAAGCAACCATCACCAGAAGTCGAGATACTGATAAAATCCTAATTGGCCTAGGCAGTAGCCCCCATGGTGCCATCAGCGCTGCCATCATATGCGTTGCTTAATGAGATTATGTCATGACACCCAGTGTACAACCTCACTATCAACACCACCAAATCGTCACCTACCAATGCTTCCAGATACACCCAGTAGCATATTCATGTTTAATGTTTACTTATAGTGGGACAAACGTATAGTGACAGAAGCAGATAAGAAGAGCTTATCCTTTTTTAAAACATATAAAGGAATTATGAATCCGGGAGGCAAATGTAACTCTTCGTAACTTCTCCTTTTCTAATGGTTGCGACACTATCAGAAATATCACCACTCATACTTTTTGGCTTTCCAGAAGAAGATATGATGAGCTTACATTTCAGGAGTTCGCACATCATAGAGTCTGGCTTTCCAGAAGAAGATATGATGAGCTTACATTTCAGGAGTTCGCACATCATAGAGTCTGACAGAACCGTCTACAAAACCAGCTGCAAGTTGACCCTCATGAACTTGAGAAGTAGACTACACAGACAATGCAGGAAACAGTCATAATTACACCGTTCATTTTGAGATCCAACATACCACATATGTAGCAAAATCAACAGCCTAATCCATACGGACAACATCTGAGCCAGATTGACTTTACAACTAAGTTAAACAAATATAAATGATACAGCTACAATTCTTATTAATAAAAAAGGTGATACAAGGAGTTGCAAATAGATACTGGAAGTAATTTGAGGTGGTAAAAAACTCACAGTGCTGAGATGCTACAATGTGATGAAGAAGGAATAGAATTAATAAGCTGTTTTTTATCCAGATCCCAAAGCATAATGGATGATAGTCACCAGAAGCATACTAGCAAATGAAGCAAAGCAGAAGTAAAAAAAACATTATTCACAACAAAGAACAAGAATCACAAAATTTGAAACAGAACTTGTCCTATAGCCCTAACCTATTACGTCTTAAAGAGAGGAAGTACCAGATATCCAGATTGTTGTTCCCAATCCACAACAGCATTCAAACTTCGCACCCCAGATTTATGACCTTGAATTGAAGAAAATGCAGTGACAAGCTTCTGTTGACCCTTCAAAGTGTAATCTTTCCAAATTCGAATGTTTCCATCACCTAATTATATGACCGCAAAAAGGTGCAAATTATTTAGAAATGTTCAATAATAGCACCCTTCCTGACCAAGAAGCATATTTTTTGGTCGTATAGAATCTTGCTTGAAGCAGCAGCAAGTTGTCATCAAGCTCATTCACAAGGCAAAGCTTGGAGATTCCTTTGTCAGGAAAATCATGGTTATCAAAGCCGTTGAAAAGGGTAGCCTCCTTCTGCTCTTGGTAATTCTATAAAAGAAACAGCCACCAAATTCTCTCCTTTAGTACCACATGATGCTGGTGGGTTGAAGGCAACATTGGGTGAGAGATCGGAGAGCAGTGCGCAGATCGCATAATTCGGTCAGCAAGTAAAAAGTTTCGAAAAAGGCTGGCAACTAACAGGTCTTGTCTGAACAGTCTCTGGAAAAATCTGCAACACAGAACTGAGTATTGGATAGATGTACCACCACGAAACATTTGATTATGGAACAGTAGAACAGTAAGTGGAAAAGGAAAACTACAATGAGGGAGAACATTCCATGCAATCGTATCGGTGACAGCAGTAAAAATCCAATTCAACTCGCCCAACAGGGTTTCCCGGTCATTTTGGCGGCCAGAGATTTCATCTATTAGCGAATAATCAAGAGACTCATGAAGTAATGATCGTGTGCAGAACCTGAGAGTACATAATAGCCGAATAAGTAGTAAGCCCTACTATAACATGGATTTTAAGAAAAAGGAGAAGGCATTAGCGCAACAGCGAAGTTTCTAAATGAAACCCGCCTACAAACAAAGCTCATTGAGTATAACCAAACTTTATCAACAGTCCAAAGCATCAATTGAAACCACAATAGCATCAGATGAATACATAAATCAATGCAGAAAAGTAGCACTGATGTACACTTAGCCAGAGGATGAAAGTAAAATGATATAGCAAGCCAGAACATAACAAGGAGATAAGCAAATAGTGAAAGCATGAGATGTTATAATCAAGGGTTGCATACAGTAATTGTACAACAAACATATGGATGAAGTATGACTACTAACAGTAAGACAAAACTTAAAACTGATAGTCAAAACTTCCAATAAAACAAGAAGGCAAGCTTCACCATCTTAATGCCATCTTGATGGGCGTTGTGAGACAAGAAGTAAACACATCGGCAGGAAATTCAGCACTCTGCGGAAGAGTCTCGTGGCAGCTAGCAGGATACAATCCCTTGCAGATCCAGATGAGCTAGAACCATCCCAATCATGAAGCTAACAGAAAGAAAATAAAAACATTACAATGAAGTCTATACTATATAATATGTAATACCACTATACTTCAAACATAATGGAAACCTCAAATATCAATTAGCATAACATTCTGTTGACCCTAAAAACTACTAAGCCTATGTGGCGCGCAGGCCGAGTAATCTATGAGCTAACTACATCCTTCGGTTAAATGCGGGGCATGCCAACTCGTCGGCCGAGGAGTAAAATTTGTTGATGTTGCGTTGGGTGCGCTGCTGATTTCTTGATCTTACGGTTGTGGCCGAGGAAGGAACACGTCTCGGCCTTCGGGTTCTAGAGCCTAAAGACAAGGCTGCTAACTTAGCGAAGTTCAATATCCAATTCGGCTTCCAATGTGCCGAATGTAGTAACTCGTAACACCTCACTTCGCCGAGAAGGCTGATGAGATGACCTCGACCAATAAGGATTCAGGAATCCTTCTCGACCGAGACTTGGATAGGTAATCAACCGTCCTCGCCGCAGTGCTGTTGATGCCAACGGAAGATGCTGCGAGATCGGCTGATTCTACGGTGATAGAGCTATCTATGCCGACTTAAGATATTACCGGTTGCTTTCACAGTGCTGTTGATGCCAACGGAAGATGTGTCAGCGAAAAGATAAAATAAAAAATCTCAGTTGTTGAGAGAGTTTGCGCAGGGCAGTTGTGTGTTGAATTGGAGGGGGCCTTCACGTTGCACATAGTTATAGAACTGAAGTACTTGCTCTCCACGGTCAGATAATGTTGCAGAAAACGACTGAAACTGAAACTCGTAAAGTGACTGATCCACGGCATAGGCACTAAAGCCTATCTTCATATGGCTTACTTTTCAAAATAATAAAAACCATTCTACTAAAGCCTATCTTCATATGGCTTACTTTTCAAAATAATAAAAACCATTCTGACTTATCTTATCATGACTAGAAACCTAGGCTAGCTAGGCTTTCCTATGTCATCATAACACCACCATAAAAAAAAACTAGCTTTTCTAGGTCTTGTCACATCATCATCACCCAAAGTAGCTATTTCCTTACCCCATTGTCGCATGCAACTTGACCCTATGAATATTAAAGGAGTTTTTGAACTTTAATCCCTCAAGAAGATTAAAATTTAAAAAAAACTGGTGTTAGATTAAATATTGATTTTAGTCCCTAATGTGCACTTAATTCAAAATAATTAATGTGCATTTTATTTAATGTCTCCCATTAAATATTTAAATTTATTAATACACAAATATTAATTTATTTTTTGACCAAAAAAGAGTTTTTTAATTATTAATTTTATTTAACATTCTTCAAACTTGAAAGACTCAATTAATGTACATAAATGTTAGTACCGAAATATATTATATTGAACTAATATATTTAAATGTTAGTACCGAAATGTATGTACCTAAATATATGCACCGAAATGTATTAATATTAAATTAATGTACATAAATGTATGTACCGAAATGTATGCACTGAAATGTTAGTACCGAAAATGTATTATATTGAATTAATGTACCTAAATGTTTGTATCGAAATGTGTGTACCTAAATGTATGCACCGAAATGTATTATAATGAATTTAATATACCTAAATGAAGAAGATAAAGTACATCAAAATATATTGTATAACAAAAATTAGTTTATCTAAATGTTCACAACAAAATATATTACGATGAATGAAATGAAAATAAAAATTATAATGAAATAAAATTAATACATTAAAAATTAGAAAGAAAAAGATAAATAAATAAAAAATCAAAATATAATTAATAAATGAGGTTATTAATGTATCAAGTGACTAAAATTAGATTTTGATCTTACTCATGGTTTTAATCAAAAAATCATCTTTGCTAAGGATTAAAATGAAGTTTTCTAAATATTAAATTCACTTTTAATTATCACCATATTTAAATAGATAATAATCTGACCAGAATCCAATCCCCTCAGTAGTTTCCAAGCAACCTCATTTATCTGATGCTGTGCTGTTATACTTCAAGATATATATCTCATAATAAATCATTATTAAAAGATAATTATGATAAAAATCATAACTTTAAAAATCATTATCTTTTAATAATGACCTTTATTTCTTGATCCAACAGTCGGGAGCTATGTTCACTCAACGGCCTTGATTTCACAGACCAATGGTGTAAATTTGGGTCCAAACATTGCCCCCCAGTTTCCTTGAGCTTCGGCTCGTAAGCCGAATGATTAAGGAAATTAACTGGTTCATAGCCAACAACATCTTGTCGTATTGCCGAAACAAATTTTGTTCCTCGGCATTAAAGTCACCTCTGTTCTGGCAATATCATAAAGCAGGGCCGAGGCTGAGAGTAATTGGGGCCGAGGTCAATAAAAATCTCCAAGCCTGCCTATATATACATGTAAACCAGATTGCCTGATGTAACCTGCCAACCATGCAGCTGGCATATACATATATAAATGGCATCCTGGCCGAGCACACATTTATAAAATGAACCTCTGCCGAGCATCAGTCGTGGAGCTCGACATGTGTGATATAGGTAGAAAGGTACTGGGATCGAGCTTGGCATATATGTATCTATGCCATTTTTTTTTCTTCTCGATAGTGGCACCATATAAGACCAACACTTAAGACTTATAGCCTTTAAACTTCTGTAAGAACATCCTGACATATATATAAAATACCCCACCTGCCACCACACACTTTTCCTTTCTTCTTGATAGTGACATCTTGATGTAAGCTATATATATATATATATATATATATATATATATATATATATATATATATATATATAGCCATGAACCCAAATTCTGACATGATGCCGTCTGCCATGCTGCCATCATGTCTTTCACTCCATTTTCTATACTCGGCCAACTAATATATATATATATATATATATGCCAACTAATAATATATATATATATATATATATATATATATATATATATATGAATTGCCTTCCTCGGCCAACCTGTTTTAAACTCCTCGGCCAGCTTTTTTTTTATTTTTTATTTTTTATATACTCCTATATATATATATATATATATATATATATATATATATATATATATATATATGTTTCGACCAAGCTTTGTTTTTTAATGGGGCCGAGGCCAAGGCTTTTGTAAGCAAAATTCACAAATAAATGCTTTCGGCCAAAATAGTCAAACATGTGTATTCGACCAAATTTTATATTCGGCCAGAATGTTGCTGCCCCCTTATTTTCTTATGCATCGGCTTGCATAGCCATATGTTTAAGAAAATAACATACATATATATTTAACAAACAAAAAGAAAAGTGGCCGAACCATAGTTAGGAGGAGGCCAACGATGCTTTATTCCAAGTCGAGATCTTGTAATAACAAAATCTTCACATTGATTTCGCTCTAGGCCGAATAAAGATTTTCCTCCAAATATTTTTGACTTGGCGAAATATTTTTTATCATCGGCTGCTGAATGTATTGAACAATTACTATGCCCCCCGGGCATAATAATTTCGGCTTTTAATTCAAATATCTTGGCCGAACGAGATTTCTCCATATCGGCTTTATCGCCAATAATCATATCAATTGTCATGGTTTCTTGGGCTAAGCCAATGTTGCGGCCTTGTTCGTCATTGGAGCACTCCTCTGACGAATCAGTTTCTGAGTCAATTTGTGGCTCAGAAACTTGAACATTTTCTTCCAGGCCTACCACATTTCCAGTCTCGACCGAAAAAATAGGTGGCCTTTGTTCTTTGGCCAAATTAACAATTTTCTTAGGCCGAATATTGGTTGTGGCCGGAGTGAAAATTTGCCCCCCGACCTCTTGCCTTTCAGAAATTTTTCCCAATCTCTTGATGAGTTGTTTTTGCTTCTTTAATAAGCGATGACACTCATCCCATGAAGCCTAATCGAGATAGATCATGTGAACTTCGTAGTTTTAGCACTGTGTCCCAATGGGCGTGCCAAAATGTTGACCCTAAAAACTACCAAGCCTACGTGGCGCGCATGCTGAGTAATCTATGAGCTAACTACGTCATTCGGCTAAATGCAGGGCGTGCCAACTCATCGGCCGAGCTCGACCGAGGAGTAAAATTTGTTGATGTTACGTTGGGTGCGCTGCTGATTTCTTGATCTTACGATTGTGGTCGAGGAAGGAACACGTCTCGGCCTTTGGGTTCTAGAGCCTGAAGACAAGGCTGCTAACTTAGCGAAGTTCAATATCCAATTCGGCTTCCAATGTGCCGAATGTAGTAACTCGTAACACCTCACTTCGCCGAGAAGGCTGATGAGATAACCTCGACCAATAAGGATTTAGAAATCCTTCTCGATCGAGACTTGGATAGGTAATCAACCGTCCTCGCCGCAGTGCTATTGATGCCAATAGAAGATGCTGCGAGATCGACTGATTCTACGGTGACAGAGCTATCTATGCCGACTTAAGATATCACCGGTTGCTTTCACAGTGCTGTTGATGCCAATGGAAGATGTGTCATCGAAAAGAGAAAATAAAAAATCTCAGTTGTTGAGAGAGTTTGCGCAGGGCAGTTGTATGTTGAATTGGATGGGCCCTTCACGTTGCACATCGCCTTTGTATTTATAGAACTGAAGTACTTGCTCTCCATGGTCAGATAATGTTGCAGAAAACGACTGAAACTGAAACTCGTAAAGTGACTGATCCACGGCATAGGCGCTATAGTCTATCTTCATATGGTTGACTTTTCAAAATAATAAAAACCAGTCTGACTTATCTTATCATGACTAGAAACCTAGGCTAGCTAGGCTTTCCTATGTCATCATAACACCACCATAAAAAAAAAAAACTAGCTTTTCTAGGTCTTGTCACATCATCATCACCCAAAGTAGCTATTTCCTTACCCCATTGTCATGCAACTTGACCCTATGAATATTAAATTCACTTTTAATTATCAACATATTTAAATGGATAATAATCTGACCAGAATCCAATCCCCTCAGTAGTTTCCAAGTGACCTCATTTATCTGATGCCGTGATGTTATACTTCAAGATATATATCTCATAAT